GAGGCCGCCTCGCGCGCTAGCCTCGCCTCAGGGCCCCGGAGAGCGCCAGCGGCTTCGTCGAGCGAGGGCGCGAAGCGAAGCCTCGGCGCGAAGGCCTCCTCGCGCACGAGCTCCGCCCAAGACCACGGAGAGCGCCGGCAGCCCGGTGGAGCAAGGGCGCGGAACGAAGTCTCGGGGCGCGAGCAGGAGCGTTGCGAAGGCCTCCTCGTCGTGAGCCCCGCCGGCCCACGAGGAGCGCTGGCCGACGGCAGGCGGCGCCGGCGGCAGGAAGCGGTTGCCGTGGAGGAGGGGCAGGATGAGGAGGAGGAGGAGGAGGAGGAAGAGGAGGAGGAGGAGGAGGAGGAGGAGGAGGAGGAGGAGAGGAGGAGGAGGAGGAGGAGGAGGAGGAGGAGGAGGAGGAGGAGGAGGGCAACGGGCGGCGTCGGTGCGGAGGCGTCGCGCGTGCAGGAGGAGTCCAGCACTCGAGCCACGAAGCGGACGCCTCTTCCCTCCCCCCCGCCAGGCCGCCCTTGCATGCTGCTCCCTGTCTGCCGGGTATTTTCCGGCCGCTCTGGTGTTTTTTTCCACCGACCTGGGTCAGGGGCCTCGGCTCGCAGGTCGCGTGGGGGACCCCTCTCACACGCCTGTCCCGGTGGACACCCACCGCAAAGGTCAGTGGGTGCCGGGGCTGCGGGAGCAGGAGCAGCAGCAGCAGCAGCAGCAGCAGCAGCGACAACAGGAGCAGCAGGAGTAGCAGGAACAGCGGGAGCAGCGGGAGCAGCAGGAGCAGCAGCAGCAGCAGCAGCAGCAGCAGCAGCGACAACAGGAGCAGCAGGAGTAGCAGGAACAGCGGGAGCAGCGGGAGCAGCAGGAGCAGCAGGAGCAGCGGGAGCAGCGGGAGCAGGAGGGGGGGCAGGAAGAGGAGGAGCTTGAGAGCAGAGGGGAGGAGGAGCAGCAGTGGGATGAGCAGGGACTCGAGGCGCACAGGGGCGGGGGGAGCCTCCGGCGGGCGTTCGCCAGGGCCGGCTCCCCGGGCGCTGCCTCCGCCAGCTCCAGCACCAGCACGTCCTCCTCCAGCTCCCCGCCCCCACTGTGGCCCCCGCGGGTGCCCTTACAGACGAGATACCTGGCGGCCTACCATCCCGGTATCGACGCTGCCGGCGCCAACCTGGTTGCCAAGATCGCCGCCCTCGTGAGCAGTCGGCCCTCCGCGGAGGGCCGCCTCGCTGCACCTCGGCACGGTAGCCGCACGGAGGCCGCCGCGGCCGCTGCCTCCCGAGCTGGCAGCGATGCGGGCCGCCGCCGCGCCGCGGCACCCCAGCTGGGCAGCCGCACGGGCGGCGCCGTGGCCGCTGCTTCCAGAGCTGCTGGCAGCGCCAGGCGCGGAAGCTCATCGGGCTCGTCCTGCTCGCCCTCCTCGGGGAGCAGCCGCACTTCTCCCCAGCCACGCGGCAGGGAGGGTGCTGCGGCTGCCGCGTCCAGGGCCGGCGGCGGAGCGGGACGCAGCGGCCCGCACCACGCCCAGAGCCGCGCCACCGCGCCTCGGCCCAGGAGCGGCAGAAAGCGTGCCGGGGCTGCCGCCTCTGGAGCCAGCAGCGAGGCAGGCAGAAGCGGCGGACCCTCCGTGGAGAGACGCGCCGCGCAGCTTCGGCCGCGCGGTGGCACAGAGGGTGCTGCGGGCACCTTGTCCACAAGCCACGGCGGCCAGCACCGGAAGAGCAGCATGGGCAGAGAGGGCGATGCGCCCAGCTCGTCCAGGGCTGGCGCCGACAGCGGCATTGGCGCGGCGGGCCACCGCCGAGGCGGCCGCTCTGGCGAGGCCCCGCTGCGCCCGCTCGAGCGCCCAGAGGAGGCTGCAGCTGCGCCCCCTCCTCTCAGGATCAAGCTTGCGGCCAGCGGCGTTCCCCCTTCCCCTCCCCCGGCTCCGCCGGCCCCCAGAGCCAGCAAACACACAACCCTGGCGGAGCAGCGAGGCGCGGCGCCTCGGCAGGGCAACCACGCGCAGGGCGCCGAGGGGGTGTACCCCGTGCGGTTGGACACTAGCGCCGTCCCTGCCGCCGGCACGAGCCGCGCACCGATGGTCCTGGGCCAGCGCGGCCGAAGCCCGGGCTGGCGCGACCCGCCCTTGGACGCCGCGCCCGCCCGCCGCGCGTCGCCGCCTGGGCGCAGCAGCTCCCCGCCCCCACGGCGCCGCAGCCGGTCCCCAAGGCTCCCCCGCAGCCCGACGCCGCCCTCCCGCCCGCCGCCCTCCCGCCCGCCGCCCTCCCGCCCGCCGCCCTCCCGCCAGGGCAGCCCGCTGGAGCGCCGCCGCCACAGCCAGTCGCCCGAGCAGCGCCGCCGCAGCCCGTCGCCGCTGGAGCGCCACGGGGGAGGCGGCAGGTGCCGCGTCACCTTGCTGGAGGGGTCGCAGGAGGCAGCCCCAGAAAGGCGCTGGTCGCTTCCGCCTCCGCCGCCACCGCGGCGCAGCCCCTCGCGGCGGCGGGAGGCGCCGCCAGCACGGCGCAGCCCCTCGCGGCGGGAGGCGGGGCGGCCGCCGAGCCCCTCGCGGCGGGAAGTGGAGCCGCAGTGGCGCAGCCGGGCGCATCGGGAGGCGGATCCGATGCGGCACAGTCCCTCGCGGCGGGACGCGGAGCCGCCGTGGCGCAGTCCATCGCGGCAGGACACGGGGCCGCCGCTGCGCAGCCGATCGCGGCGCGGGGCGGAGCCGCCCTGGTACAGCCCATCGCGGGGGGGGGCGGAGCGACGCAGGCGCAGCCCGTCGCTGCGGGAGGCGGAGCCGCCGTGGTACAGCTCAACTCCTCAGCGGGAGGCGCAGCGGCCGCGGCGCAGCCGGTCGCGGCGAGGAGCAACGCCGCTGCGGCGCAGCCGATCGCCGCGGGAGATGGAGCCGCCGTGGTACTGCCCGTCGGGGCGGGAGGCGGAGCCGCCGCGGCGGGGCAGCCCGCCGCGGAGGGGGGCGGCGCGCAGGACGCCGCCGCCGCACCGCGCGCGGCGGAGCAGGTCGAGGGCCCGGCCCGGGAACGTGGGCGCGCAGGGACAGGATCGGCCCGCGGCGAGGCCCGCGAAGCGGGCGCCCAAGGGCAGGGGCGACCGGGACGAGCCCGGCGGAGCTGCGCGGGAGGCGCTGCCGCCACCGCCGCCGCCGCCGCCGCGGCCAGCGGCGGTCCCATCCCAGGGGCCCCAGGCGCGGCCGCGGCCCCAGCCGCCGCGACCCCCCGAGAAGCCGCCCCCGGCCGCGGCACCAGCCGCGGCCGCGGCCAGCGGCGAGGCGGAGCCCCAGGGCGAGGGCTCGCCAGAGCGGAGCGGCAGCGGCAGTCGCTGCCGCAGCCGCAGCGCGAGCCCGGACTGGGACGGTTGAGCCGCCATATGGCGGCCATCACGGTGGTGGTCGAGGCCGAGATGCAGGCAGTGGCATCGGAAGCTCGAGGTCTGGGCGTTGCAGTTTTGTCGCGCTGGCGTGTGGTCGCGCGGTACTGCGGGCCCAGGGGTCATCACGGATCGATCGGGCTCGAGAGATGCAGCAGAACGATGGGGTCTAGAACAATGGGGTCTAGATGCAGCAGAGCGGGCTTGGACGCGACGTGCCACAATGCTGCAATGCTGTCGCAACGTCTGAGTAACGAGCTACAGCTACGGTCGGGAACGTTTGGTTAGCGTGTCGCGCCGCCGGTGCTGGCCCACCACGCTGCGGCGCCACACGCGAACCGCATCCTTGCACCCGAGCGTGATCGCCCCGAGCTCTTCCCCCCCCTCGCCCCCGCGAAGCGGAGCGACGCGCCGTCGGCTTGCAAGGCATAGCGTGTCGCCGGGGCCGCCGCCACGACACGCTAAGCAAATGTTCCTGACAGGACACAACTTCTGGCCCACTTCAAGGAAGTGCTTCCCTTGAGTGTTTGAGCTTGTCTGCTTGAGTCCTGACAGCATCATTCGTTTGAGTCGGCGCCTGGCACGCTGCACTTCCCCGCTTCTTTGCTATGCCCATGTCGCCCTCTCATTGCTTTGCAGCATGCCCAAGTAGTACCAACACAACTCAGCCTTGATATATGACGTGGTGCTTCTGGGGCGATAGCAACGAATTATTATGTGCTGTATATTCGGTGTTCGTGCAAGCACTCCTGACTCATGACGGCCGCGTTGTCATTCGCGGATGCTCCGACGTATTTCTGCGCTCGCTTTCCCAACGCTTTCCTATTTGCCTGTTTGTATGAGACCCCAATCAGCGGATCTCTGGAATGAAACAGAATAGCACGAAGATGATTCGCGCGAGCAGACGTGTCATGAGTTGCCACAGCGATTGCAGAAAATGGCCCCCGTCAAGCCTTCGTGGCTTGCACGCCCGCCCAGGAACTGCTCCACACGCGCACACCTTCGGGCGCACGCGGTGGGGGCGGCGAAGCAACTCGCACGATGATCCAGAACGCCCCAGCCAACGCCAGGCTTCGTGGGGCACCCAGGGGCGCCCTGGGAGCCGGAAGCCGACAAGAGGGGAAGACGCGAGACCGTGAGAACGGGGCAGGGGCGCGGGGGGCCGGCAGGCAGCGGGCAGTGGCGGGGAGCAGCGGGCACACACGCACACTGCTGGCGTCGGCGGCTGCGCAGAGGTTACTGCTCCGGCGAGCTGAATCACTCGCACACACAGCACCACCTCACCTCCACCACCACCACCACGAAAATCGGCGAACCGTTCTCGCCAGCTCTCTTGGCACAAGTTCCACAAGGGACTGTTTCGTTCAGGCAGCACTGGTTGGTCTATCTGCATACCTACAAGATTCTGTTTCGAGTGATAAGGAGGTTGCAGGGGGAGGGTATGGGTGCAGTTCTCGGTTTGCGGGTTGCGTTGGCTCCGATTCGCGATCTATCGATTTAGCGATGTCGATGTCGAGATGCTTGCAATGTACATATGCGTGTGCCCGTAACTATCGTAGCACGATCTATCAATCGATCTTACGATCAAAGTGTCAACCCGCCTCATGACCTAGCGGCCCCACTAGATATACAGCGGCATTGCCATCCATATGCTGTCCACGCATCCTGTTCTGCTTACCGGTTTCGGTATGTATGATCCCGGGTCGAGGGTTCACAGCCCCCTTCCCGGACGGGATGGGCCCCAGGGTTCCAGTCCCCCCCACGCCCCCCCCCCAGAGATCGGATGGGGGGGAGACGACGACGACGACGCCGACTCCGACGCCGGCAGACCACGACGACGATGACGACGACGACGACGACGACGACGACGTCGACAGACCACGACGACGACGCCGACGGAAGACGACGACGACGACGACGACGACGACGACGACGACGACGACGTCAACGAACCACCTCACACCCACGGGGGGAGTGGGGGTCACATCCACCACCACGCCACGGCAGCACGGCCACGACCACGGGGGGAGGGGAAGCGATCCTAAGCGCGAGGCCCTGCGACCTTGGTCTCGGAAAGCTATCGTTGAGTCGGGCCTGTCCCTCCACAGGAGGGATCTTCAAAAGCAGTCAAGAAATAGTCAGGGGACGATGTTTTGACTATTGTTGGGCATTTTCGGAGTATTTTCTGTGTATGTTGTTGTAAATTGTTTGCCCAAATCACCCTGTAGGGGGACAGGCCCGACGTAAAGCTATTGGCGAAAGCGGCGGAACGTCCACCCTCCACCACGCCACGCCCATGGGGCCCACGACCACAGGGGAGGGGGAGCGATCCCACGCGAGGCCTCGCAAGACTCACGGGCGTACTTATCCAGCGGGAGGGGATCGATACCATTAGCATTTGGGGGGTGGGGCAACCCTGAACCATACATATATAGACACATCTATATATATATATATATATATGTATATATGTATGTGTATGGATGGATGGATGGATGGATGGATGGATGGATGGATGCATATCTATATAGACGTATGTATATACATGTATAGCACTGTGTAAACACACACATCTATACATATCTATATATATATATATAGACCGGGCAACCGCGGACAACCATAGGACAACCGCTGAACAATCACGGGAGAGGAAAACTGCAGGAACATCGCAGCATCGCGGGACACCCCCAGGAAAACGGCGGGACAACCTTTGGGCACGCTTTGGCTGCCGGGGGGGTGAGAACCAAATGTCCTCACCTGGGCCTACCTACGGCAGGACCTCGCGCAACTTCGACTCGCCCGCACACGCGCCACGTACGACACGAACCGAAACCGATGCCCCGGTTTGGGGAGCCTGTTCAATTTCGGTTGTTTCTTCCCATTTCCTAAGGCCCGATATTGAATTATAAGTGTTCGCATGTGTATGTATATATACACATATAGACATAGATAGATCGAGAGATAGAACACACAACGAACTAGCAAATCTATGATAATTACGCATACATGCGACGCCCGCACCCACACATCGATTCTAGCGTGTTACCATCTGTCCTGGAACGTTCATGCATCCATATGCATTCATACGCGCTTTCGAAGCATTCCCAAGCACGTATCTTAAGTATGATGTGTTTGTGCGTGCTCACTGGTATTATTCGATGGTCTGGCGATAATACACTGTTATGCCGCCATGCGTAGGAATATTGTTGAACATGCGTTGCTACGTGCTTCCGTATGTCTGCGCATACCCGCGTGCCCGCAAGTAACATCATGCTGTTATGTACAATCCCACGCCATCTCGTGCAACAGCTTCAGTCCGTGAGTAGTTCTCAAGTTAGCAACGGTAGTCGTGTGTCGGTGTGCATGTATAGTTGCATCCGTAAGTACATATGCATCAACGTGCTATTGACGTGGTTGCACTTGGCTAGTTTCCTCTAGTAGCATTGTGACAGAGTGCGCTGGCAGTCTTGCTCGCTCGCTTCCTCGCCCGTTTAACTGTTTGACTGCATTGTGGCTTGATTGTGATTGCATGTGTTTGTTCGCTTGTGCTTGCGCATGTGTTTGCTCACTTGCCAGTTTAATCTTGTTGGTTCGGTCGCTGGCCTACGCTTCGTATCTAATGTGATTGCGACTACTGGCGTGCTTGCGCCTGTTCGATTGCGTTTGTTTCCTGGCACAGCCCGCATTTCATACTCACAAGGTTTATTGTTAAGTGGCACGCGGCAACTAGCAATTCACTCACTGGATTGGCTGTAAGATTGCATTTATATATCTGCCGCGGGTTGGGGAGTATTTGGCTTTCAGTTCTGGTCCACGGGGCGAAGACAACTGACAACGGTTTGGGGCCAGAGGGTGAAAGGATGTGGCTGGCAGTTTGGGGCCAGGGCGGGAGGACATCTAGCTGGCAGTTTGGGGCCGGAGGGTGAGGATATCTGGGCGGCTGTTTGGGACTCAGTGGGAGGATATTTGGCTGGTAGTCTGGGCCAGGGGGTGAGGATACCAAGTTAGCACTTCTTTGGCCTGCGGGTGCGGAAATTTGGCTGGAAGTTGCGGGCCAGGGGGTGAGGACATCGTGCTTGCAGTTGTGGGCTAACGAGTGAGTGCAGATATTGAGAAGGCCTTGCGGCTGGTGCCACCCAGGGACGACGACCACGACGGCGGCGACGGCGCCGACGACGACGCTGACGTGGGGCAGAGTTCTCAGTGATGCTTCGTGGGGCCTCTTTGGATCGCGCTCGTAAGCCTCTGGGGGGCAGTTTTGGGGCCTCTTGGGAGCATCTTGGGGGCCTCTTGGGAGCCTCTTGGGGTTCCCTTCGGGCTTCCTGGGGGTCTCTTGGGGGCCTCGTGGGGGCCTCGTGGGGGCCTCTTGGGGGCCTCTTCGCGCCTTCTTGGAGCTTCTCGGGGCCGAGGGCTCGAATTGTTGGTTCGGGCTCCCGTGTGGGCACCCTCTTGGAGCCGTTTTTGTTTATTCATGTTTTTCTTGGAGCCGTTTTGAGGGTTTTTTGCGCCGTCTGGGAGGCGTCTAGGGTTGTCTTGGGGCCCTCTTGGGTTGTTTTGAGGCCGCCTTGGGAACCTCTTGGGGGCCTCTTGTGCCGATCTTGGTGGCATCTTGGGCCGTCTTGGGGCGTCAGAAATCCGAAAAGGCGAGAACGCCAGAATCTTTCAAAATCCCTAAGACAAATAATGTCATGCTTGACGCTTCGCGTATCCCGACCAGTTTTTTAGCGCCACAGTCTCAACCGCGACGCCACAAGGGCCCTGGCAGCCTCCACCCAGCACCACGTGACGATCGTA